AGACAGGACTGCCTCAATGGCTGCATTCGAAGCGAGTGTCCAAGATGAAGGGCGTAGCCCACTCGGAAACGCCAACAAAGGAAGGGATGTCAAACGCCGCTTCTGTTCTCCAACGGATATTTCGAAATCGTTGCGCCAGTTAAAGTGGTGTGTTTGATAGTAAGACAATTCAGAGGGGCGGCTGTGTGTGGGCAAAATCTTTGATGAAGCGGCGATAATGGGAGGCCAGCCATAGAAACTCGCGGAGCTCGGAAACGGACGTAAATTTTGGCCAGTATCGAATCTGTTCAGTCTCCACGGGATATGCTTTAATCCTATCAGTTGAGACAGTGTGATCCAAGAATGGGACAGAGGTTTTAAGGAAGCAGCATTTGGCCGGATTCAGTTTAAGGCTCACTACCTAAAGACGGGTGAAGATGGTTTGAAGATTAATGAGGTGGGACTCGAGCGAGGACCCATGCACGAGAACATTGCTCATGTACACATGCGGTAGGACACAAGTCCAACAAAACTTAGGCCATCAGACTTCGAAAGCTTGCAGGCGCGTTTGTGAACCTAAAAGGCGTGGTTTCAAACTCGTATAGCGCAGAGGGAATGGAATATACAGTCTTGCACCTATCCTCGTGGATCATTTCTACCAGCCAATAGCCGGGCTGTAAATCAGACGTGAAGAAACAGGCAGCACCTGCCAGCACCTCCGGGTTGTGCCTATGCGAGGCAATGGCAATGAGTCTTTGACTGTCGCAGAATTTAGCTTCCGGTAGTCAACACATATTCGAAAGACCCATCTTTCATTTTGACGAAAAAGATCGGCGAGGCTCAAGGTGAAGAACCTGGACGAATGACGTGTTTGTCCAACATGTCCTTCATTGCCTGCTTTAACTGTTTCTGGAAGTGGACGGGCACCGGCCGAGGTGGCTGTCGAACTGGGCGAGACGAGCCCGTGTCGATGATATGCTGCAACACGTTCGTTCGACCTAAATGTTCACCCTCCCATAAGAAAGCAACTGAATTCTGACAGAAATGATTGCAAACGAAAGTCAACTATTCAAGAAACAAACTCGGGGAGTCAAAGACTAAGCTTACGAGGTCAGAAGGCTGAGGAAGGTGGGAACCGACCGAATCACAGACTAACTGATGGTGAGAGCTGTGGGAAAAATGAAATGGAACGGTGGCCGCCTTAGACATGAGATGCCCGGTGGCAAAATCGATGCAGAAATTATGAGCATGAAAGAAATCATCCCCCAAAATACCATGTCACTGAATATCAGGACAAACTTAAGGGGGATGGCGAAATTACGACGAACTCAGGCAAAAGGTACGTCAATTAGGTACGAAAAAGAGAGGGCGTTCCATTAGCGCCCACCTTACAGGGGTGCTTCTGCGAGATCTTGGCTTGCTGAAGCCAGGCGTGCGGGAGTCCCTTGGTGTTTAGCAAGGTGCAGGTGGCCCTTGTGTCCTTAAGAAATGCTAATCGCCTGCTGTCAACGGTTACGTCAATAATGGCATGAAAGTAAGAACTTTATTTTGTAGTATGAACTGGATAGGACTCACTCGAAACTTCAGCAACTCGAACCTGACGACCTCGGAAGGGACGAGTGAGATTTCGGTAGGTCTGTGGAGCCACCGATCGAGTCAGCCGTTGTCGGAGTGCCGAAAGAAATAACTACGGTAAGGTAATGGGTAATAATGCATTTCCATCACAAAACCATTCCTATTTAGCTGGTCGTTTAGGTAATCATCTCACATTCCACCTTCGTAGGAATCCGAGCAGAGTATCCTGATTCTTCGATTATCGGGCTAATTTTTTTGCACACCTAACTGGCATTGATTGACAAACGTGGACTGCTCAAGGGCCGCAAGATTACTTTAATCGCAAACCACTACAAAGGTCAATAGACAAACTTCTCTGCCAGAAAGTTACCTTTGGAACGCGGGCCAGGAAAGGACAGCAGTCGAACTGCCCTGATCTATTTTTACTCGTGGGGAGGAAAATGCGTAGGACCTGCAGGGCCGCCCGCCGTTAGGGTCAAGCGACCACATCAAACTCTTCTTCGAATACTCGTTGTTTTCCACACCCGCTCTGCCCGACAGTCAGGAAGAAAACGTTTGGAAGGGGGACTATTATATTATGAGGAGAGAAGCGGTAGCGGAGTCGTGGGAGACTGAACTGCATGGTCGGGCGAACGACAATTGGAATACTTTAAGTTCCTTACTGAAAGAGTTTATTTATTCCAATTGTCCTCTCAGAAGAAAGACAATTACAAACCGCTCAAAGTGGATAAACTCGGGCTTAAATGCCTCTTTCAGAAAAAGGAATCACCTGCGGAGGCGTTATAGAATAACTGGCTCCGAATAACACTTACAGGAATAAAGGCATCAACGCAACGTTAGTAAAAGTGAGGCTTCGAAACTGCGAAAGAAGTTCTAACTGAACATACTGCGGAATTCGTTGGAACATCTAGAAATTCTATATGGCTATATACGAAGTACTAAAAGGACTCAGGGGCCGACCCCTGTCCTTAGGTCTTCAAAAGGAAAAGTGGAGACTGATGACCAGGTAAAAGCGTCCCTCCTTTCTAATTTCTTTCAGTCCGTCTTTACCCGAGAACATAGTTTAATATTTGTTCACCCATCCGCTCGCCGGCCAACGTCTTCTCCTACTCTCCACCTCCTCTTACCCCTCCTACCCTCCTTTATCGAGGAACAACTCTCTTAAATGACCATAGTTAGGGCCGAACTACTCCGGCTGAAACCTGCCAAATCGCCTGGCCCACATAGAATTCCCGCACTAGCACTTCGTGAAGTTGCTAATGAACGGTGCCAACCAGTGTCTGCAATATTTTAAAAGTTCTTTGAAGAAAACGAACTCTCGGAAGAATGGAAACGCTCACTCATCACCCCGATATATAAAGGAGGCTCACGACATGATTGCGGAAATTATCGTCCCGTCACTCTTGCATCGCGTGTAAAATAATGGAACGCATTACCAAAAGACATTTGATGCAAAACCTTAGAAAGAGTATTGCGCGATGTCCGACACGAGATTCGTCCAGGAATCTCCTGCCTAACGAGTGTTCTTTATCCAGCAGGTGTCATATTTTTGACTTCAAGAAGGCCTTTGACAATATCGCACACAAGCTTCTTTTATAGGAGATCACGGATGTAGGCATTCAAGTAAGAATGTTTAAATGGACCACGAGTTTTCTGTCCTCCAGAGTACAGGGAGTCGTTGTTAGTAACTCTACCTCAAAATAGGCAAAAGTGGAAATTGATGTCCCCCAGGGTTCTGTTTTAGGCCCATTATTCTTCCAGATTTATGCAATGATTGCACCAGCGAATTAGACTGCGAGGCCTTCATGTTTGCGGACGACATAGAAATATGGAGTGAAGTCAAATGCGATGATAACACAAAGGAGTTGCAATCGAACACCGACAAACTGAGTGTTTGGTCAAAGAGGTGGTTTTTGCAGTTTGATGTGTCCAAATGCGTGGTCCTACGCCTAAACACCGGCCGAAATGCCTCCCCAAACATCAGTACTATATTGACGGGACGGCACGGCACTAGAATCTGGGGAAAGACACAGATCTGAGTGTACAGACGACCACAAATATAAAGTCGTGAGAACACTGTAGAAAGATGGTCCAGAAGGCAAGTAGAACTTTACAATGGATCAGGCGTACATTTAAAATATTTCCTTCCGAACTCTTCGAAAGAATTTTGGTGTCTTTGTAAGAACCCACCTAGGATATGGAATGCAAGCAGCTTCACCATGGATAAGGGAGGATAATGACCTCCAAAAGGTGCAACGCAGAGAAACGAAGATGGTTGACGGTCTACAGCATTTGTCTTGCCAGGAGAGGCTGAATGTGCTTGGCTTACTCCCCTTTTATTATAAACTGCTAGTCTGCAGTCTACTCTAGACATTCCGGCTTTTCCGTGGCCAAGGTTGCTCAGTAGGAATGGGGTACGTTTTTGAGTTTACCCATACAAACGAATTCCGCGGTCATGCTTACAAAGTCAAGAGTGAATGCACGTGGCTAGACCGTAGGACGTTTTCATTCAGTCAGCGATTTGCCCGACCATAGAACTCGCTACCAAGTGAGATCGTTACGGCCGACACAATTTGCATGCTTAAATAAAAACTTGGTCGCTTGATTTTCGACAGAAACCGGCTTTTACAATATGACTATTCACAGCTAGCTTTATAAAACGCTTTGTCATGCACAATCTTTCCGTTCAGATTTACAGTGAACGGATGCGCTTCCTTAGCATTACGATTGTCCTGTGGCCCAAACACACTGTAAATGTCAGCAACCTTATTTCGAGTTAGGACCTGCGAAATCATTGTACATAAATAGGGTCATCGAGGGCTCCGCCTCTAACCTTTCGACTACATACATACCTTTTCTTTGAAATTACAGTTGCTTGAAGAAACACAACGTTTTTCGGAGGTCATTTTATCGGAAAACAAGTACCAAGTAGAGGGCAAAGGACCTTATTGCGGAGGCGTGTAAGCATACAACTCTGGAATGTCGCCTGCGCGCTCTAAACAGCACTACTGTCGCTATTAGGTTGTGTCAAAAGAAGCCTCTGCAAGGCCAAACACATGTGTAGCCTAGAGTTGTGGATGGAGAATGCGGCGTTCGCCACAATAATTTACACTTTACGCGGTCAGTCGTGCTTAGTTTAGTCACTCGTCTATGGAGACATGACGGAGGGTGAGAGAAAGACAACCTGCGCAGTCTCATCTCGCGTTGGAAATTGAACGGCATACTTGGCTTGGCCTAATATCCTTGATGAAAGTAATATAGGGGTTTCAGAACGTTAAAGGTTTGGGAATTTATGGACAAAACTTGGTGTCATCAAAAAAGCCGGAGACAAAATTGTTGTTTTTCCACACCAGGCTTTAGACTGTTTTTTGGTTTGAGGGGTTGTGACCACCCGTCTGTTCCCTTCGTTGTTGAAGTGGTTGCCTGAACTTTCCTGCGGTCATAAAATGGCCAAACCAGTCCCTCCAGCTTATTTGCGAACGAAGTTGATACCTCATGCGCAACAGGTCTGCCAGTTATACAAGGCCGCGCTGTACAATATAAAAGCTCAAAAACTCGACTCGTAAATATATTAGTGCAGTTTACAAACTGCCTGAAGTTTAGAGTTTCGTTACGAGGCTGTTCTTTTGCGGGCTCGTTTCGAGGAGAACAGAAACATAAAAGATGCAGTACAAGCCAAGAAGTTGCTCGAAGAGGGTTGGGCAGAGCTTAAAAAGAAGAAGTTCGCGTTCCCATACCTCTGTTAGCTTCATAATTTGCCATTTACGCTTGACTTAGATCCTACTTCTCCGGGCGGTGTGGCCTACGAGAGATATGATTACAAAATGCCGGACTATGTTTGTACAATTTTTCAAACGAACTCTTTAGTTGTTGGACAACTGGCACCCCCTTGAGAAGTTGCAGTATCCGGACTACTTTGCCAGACGTGAAAAGCGCAAGGCGGAGTTTATTGAACGTTGGAAGCTTCGTTACGGTGAACCGGAGCCACAAACCCACTAGGAGTTTTTACCTTTGCCGATTCTTCTTTGTTCTATAGTTTTATTTATGGCGTAGAACGCAAGGTTCCCTTCCCGCTTCATGTACACCAATAAACCAGCGGTCAAGTAGAATGGCCCCTTGTGTTGGGCTCTATTGTTTAATCTCAACCAGCTTTAATTGGTGGTATGCTGGCATGACATCAGTAAATTTGTCCTATACTGTATCAGGGCGACCTATTACTTTTGAATTTCAGAAATAGCTTGCGCGCCCACTCAAATTACTTTATATAGAATACTACCTGGGACTATTTTGGCTGACCTAAGCGTCTGCAGTACTGCGATCACGTGTGGTCTTTCTCAGCGATGGAAAAACTACGACCCTGCCGTTTGTAGGTCACCCGACTCATCGCAGTGGTGACGCCAGTTCAGACTAATGCTCAGAGCGAACTATTTTTCACTCCAATTGGTTATCTGGCCGAAACATCTGAATTTTCAAAGCTTACCTGAGATGTCAACTGGGACTGTCACTAGTCGGCTGTGAACACCAGATTCTGAACCATCGTCGTAAGCTGAAACCATTATCGGAAGATGACGGTTAATAGACTCCGGGTTTTTGACTAATCAGTTGGTTTAGAGCAAAATAAAGGATTGTCACCTTCTGCGTTGATCTCTTCTTTCATCTGAATTTGACTGCGACTGTGGGCATAGTCATCTAATCTGAAACATTGTGATCCGATAACCAAGGAATTAGAAACCTCGGATCTATTAGGAGATGGCATTCAGTTTCGTAGGATTTGGTTTTCCCTCGACCTTGGGCATCATTTACAATTCAGGGGTTGACGCAAGAACTTATCTCTTTTGAGACCCGAACTTCACTATGATTCATCCCGGTCGCCTCAATGAGTGCCCGTGTCCCCTCAAGTTGTTATTCGTGGTAAGCGACGTTAGGTTCCAGCTTAAAAGCTTCGGGCTTTTCTGACGTCAGTTCTCATTACTATTCTGACTAAGCTCGTTGTCTTTGGATCATTTAGACTGGTAAGAAATCGCTGAGGAGTATGTAATATAATAGTGGGCCGAACGGCATGTGTTTAGCTTTTCTACTACTTTCTGCTGCGACAGTTGAATAAGTGGAATTGCCTGTTATGGCTCCTCCGAAGGGCGACATTGTAGGAACTACGGCTAATACCTGGATAGCTAGACGAGGAAATGCTCTAATGTCAAGACCCCGGACTGTGTCGACCCTGTATCTCGCAGTTATCCATTTGCGTCTAGTCGGTTTATCGTAATACAGCAAGTACTGGATCTCAAGTTGGCTGAGATATTGTGTCAAAATCCGTTTATGTGCAACAGGGAAGTTCATTCCAGTGCTTGTGATGGTATGAAGACTGCAGGAGACTCTTAAAATTGCGTTGATATGTGTACTGAGACGATAGAGACTGAATAAGGCCGAACGGTCGAGTTTTGTTTTGCAACCAGGACGGGATAGTCGAGTACTGTACCAACAAAGCGTGGGCTTATGTCTTAGCAGTTGAGCGTCTAACTTCAGATGCACTGGCACCAGCTAGGGCGAGGGTATGACTGTCTGACGACGGCACGTCATAATAGGGGATCAGTGAGTGGTCGATATAGACGAGATTCAGAGTGATTTTTACACGGTTGGGTGAAAATGCGGAAAGCATGTAGATTCAACTGCCAGTCCCCTACTTCCTTTCTACAGATCGCTATAAGAGGACGTTTGACGGGTACCCGTCCGTTCAACTTCGTTGAAATTACTTTTGTCGCATAGAACCAGGAAGTCGGCTATAGTTTCCAGTCACGGGTATCGAGCCGTCCTTCATTCGAGCTATTGGACACGAGATACAAGGGGCCAACTGTTCAAGTACCACCGATGGGGCTTATTTTTCGGTGACGAACGTTCCGATCTGATCGTGGCCTTTCAATATGCTCTTATATGGTCCACGTTAAACGGAATCAATGAAAAGTCACAGGACTGCTGGATGGTTTTGTGTATCTCAGGTGTAGGCCCTTAATAATAAACAGCCGCAATGCTGTCTCCGAGGTGTCATTCCATTTTTGAAGACGGAGAAGTGAGTAATTTGGAGAGACCAATTTACACGCCAGAAGACTGAGTCTGATCAGAGTGGACGTAATAGAATAAGGAAGGTGCGCGAGATTTTTCTTTCAAGAGCGCGTTTTGTTGACTACACAGTGTGCTGGCTGCCCCACTGTAAAGACGAGGGTGTATGGGCCTCTCGTACAGTTAAATATATGAAGCAAGCCTGACAACGGTTCCTGCCATTTCGGATGGGAGATAAATCGGTTCGCGACAACGGAATTACACAGTCAAATACCTTCGTTGGAACTAGACCAACGGAGCGAGTTCACCACTCTATCCGTTTATCGCAAGTAATCTATGCTTTCATATAAGTAGAACGGTGTAGATTCTATGAGAGTGGATTCGTAGAGTGTTTAATGTTATGACTTTACGGAAAACCCAGGTCGTGAACGGGCGTTTCCTGAAAACCAATAAATATAGAAGTCCCTGGGACGCTTGTCATTTATGCATCTTCACGCGTAATTGTGGCTTCTGTATTTAGCTTCGTCCCCATATAGCGTGCTTTATGGTGATTTAGCCACTGGTATCAGTTTCTCACAAATGCATAACAAGTTCTTCCAAGAGATTACATTGAATACCCACTAAAACAACCTTAGAAACTCCCTGCGTGCCGAGTCGGAGTCACGCTCTATATTTGAATTTGGTAATATGTCAACTGACAGGAAAAGTAAGAGTTCGCGCCAGACCCTGTTTTCTTCTGATCACTGATTGGCGAACAACACTCCTATCCACGCTAACGGTGAGGAAGACAAGTGGCGGAAACTGTGTCATACAAACATTGTTTGAGAACCCGCAAGGAGACAACCCTTCGGAATGCCCACCAACCTGCCATTGTGTGTGTAATAAATATTTGACCGTTACAACGGTCTGCACGGCATGTACGCTAGACTAAATCGAGGAGACAACTTGCTTACGATGTACGTCTGTCCGATTGTGACGCGTCGGCGCGAGTCCATAACTCCTGCTGCATGTGCGTATGGTAAGCCATTAGACATAGACCCCCCAGGCCGTGGACCATGTCGAGTGTCTGACACCCATATGCAAGCTGTTTAACTTTGTTAGCCACTGAGAACCTATCCACTTTAGGTTGTCTTGACATTGACAAGAAAAAAGAAGCAATCGCTGGAGGAGGACTTTATTCGCCTGACGTTTCGGACTCTCACTTGAAGCCATAATCAGCGACAGTGACAGAAATGGGTCTCTGATGATGGGTTCAAGTGAGAGTCCGAAACACCAGGCGTGTAAAGACCTTCCAGCGATTACTTCTTCTTCTTGTTGTAAACTAGTTCCTGGAACTCACATATTCGCTCTTATCTGTGTCTTGACATTGTCTGGCCTTTGGAGAAAATTGGATGGGGCGGGAGAGAGTGCGGCGGATGCTGTGCAGGTCTGCCCCACTGCTATCCACACTCGACCAATAGGTGCCGCGCCCCTTCCGTGGGGCAAGCTGGGAATGTCGCTTGCAACGTTCAGATTGGTATATGCTATATTAAACTCCATTCCAAGACCAAAACCGATTAAAACCTATCGTGCTTGTGAGGGTGGACATGAAGGCAGTACGAAGCGTGATCCCCGCTGGATGCAGTGAAAAGAAGTGACATCAAGTTACCTTTACTCGGAAAGTCTCCTTCATTTGATGCATCTTGATAGGGAGAGAGCTCAGGAGTAAGGCCGCAGTTCGGAGCCAGACATCATACGTTGGTACCGTCGACGTACTTACTTGTTATCAGTAGGTGTGTTTATCTTGTCTAGGGAACTTGTTATAAGTAGGTGTGCTTCGACTGAGCTAGGCAGGTCGCCTAAGACATTTATTCATAGCGCGCGCATTCGAGTCATAAAAGTGTAGGTGATAACTTCCGACTCTTAGATCTACTTTTCATACGGACGTGTGCACGACATTTATCTGCTGGTATCCAGGACACTTGAGGAGGGGACGTGTTGAAACTTCGGTCAAGGGGCATTTATCAGATATGCGAGCACCATCGTACGAGCCTGCTTTCTACCAATGGCGGTCCGAATCTACACAGGACGCATGTTTTGAGATTTTCTAGACGACTGTCTTGGTAAGTAAGGAGACATATATCTTGCCTGAAAGGCGACGGAACGATTTCGCGTTATATCAGCTAATACGCTTTGTTGTGTGGCCAATTTTTGACGTATTATTTGTGGCCCCATGACTTGCCGTGGGGAGGCCGATGTGTATCTTATCTATTTTGAACAATCATGATAATTGTGCCAACGGTCGACAGAGATGATTCATGGATGACTGCTAATGCTCAATTTCAACAGGGAAAAAATTAAATCAACTGCTGTAATGTTTTCGCCAGTATTTGAAAATGACGGCCAAGGCTGGCTTGTAAAGTATTTTTTCATTGTGCTTACATATCCCGCCCTCCGTTCATAGATTTCGCCCAGGTTATAGCTGGAAGAAAACGGTATATGTAAGCCTGAGACAGCGATTTTTTCTTAAATGAAGTTTGAAGACTTACCGAATATATTCGTGACCCTGTTGTTTGACATGCTATATGCCGTACCTATCCCGTCATATGCCGCCACTGTAAACTCCAAACCTTTGTTTGCCTAATCCTACCCTTTGCTGTCTGTTAAAGGATGTGGCCTCAAGGTTGGAATTAAATATGCAACGCCCGACAGTAATCACATCCTAAATTTTGGACATTCATAGTCCGTTCGCACCCTTTGTTTCCAACACTTTCGTCGAAATCTACCAAGTTCTGAACATGTGTAGCTTGAAGAGGTTTGCGAAAATTCGAGGAATCCTTCATGCATGCATTTCCTAATA